TAGTATCACTGGCCATCAGAAACTCACTTCATCGATTTCAGGTGACAGCAAGTATTTGCATAACTGCATAGTCCAAGTGAATATCCAAGTCCACATATTTCTCACTCGTAGTGTCACGTCACACAGCAATGCAAATGTAAGCCGTGAGAATTCTTTGCTGCAGTACAAAAAACTATACATTTGAAGATTTATTATCCAATGGTGATGGAGTTTTATGCATAGGAGCGCACAGCATTCTCAATGGGGTGCATTGACTGTTAACAGTCGTCCATCAGACACAATGAGGTGAGATAAAGCACTGGAGAAGTTTGTCGCGTGGGTTTGTTTGCGAACATGTTTCACTCTGAGTCGCCAGATTTAGATTTAAATGTTTGTTTAGATTTTCTGTGCCATTATGGCCGTCCAGAAGCCTTAGAGCAGTTGTTGCAGCTGAGTTTTTGTATACGGTGATATCTAGAATGTTGGCAACTGGGTGAGTTTGCTGTAAAACGTTTCAGGAAGTTAGAAACCACTCGCGAAAAACTAGTTGGCGGATTCTTTCAGTAATTCGCTAACAGTGACCACAGAAGGGTTTTTTGTTGCCTGTCAATCTTCCCCATTCGCGGGGAGAACAAGGAACCTATGGGAAATATCTTGTATCATGGCCACAAAAGCATAGAACGAAGCGTGTTCATCGAGCTCCTCGGGCGCAACCCACGGTATGACCACTTCACAACAGCCTTATTAACAGAGTCGCTCTCGTTTATCTAAAGACATATAATGCTATGCGTAGATATCGTCGCTCCTCTGAGAGCGCTTAAGATGAAGAAGAATGAGGGCCAGTACATTTCTCGAATAATCCTCAGCAAATTGTGGAAACCATCTATGCTATATCATACCTCTACAGACTTTCTGTTATCGCACTCAATCTGCGATACTTATCAAGTAGTTGGGACTTTACGCACACTAATCTCAAGAAACGAAGAGACAAATGCCCTCAAAAGTGGTTCTAAGATATATAGTGTGACCTCCCTTCTGAAAAATCGTCCACAGGCACTAAGAAACAGCTTATTTATTGCACAAGGGGATGGTGTGCAGCGATCCCCTCGAAATTTGTGAACTATTTAGAGAATCGCTCGAGAAATTCAGTCCTAGCACCCTTATCCCCATCACTCATGCACTGCTTACTACAGGTTCGTGCGCCAACGTGGATTTCACTGCCAAAAGTATCATTGAGGCGATCATGAACTTGAGACCGTCAACATGTATCGGAAACAGATAACCCAGACTCAAATATCATCAGGAACAGCGGTGACTGTATGCCTCTGTTATTGCTTGAGATATTCACTCTGTCAATGGAAAGAGGAGTATACTCTATTGAATGAAAAACCAGCTACGTAACGCCTCGCCACAAGTCCGGGGACGAAGCGAATGTTAATGATTACAGGCCCATCAACATAACACCGGCCCTATCTAGAAGTATGGAGAAAGTAATTAAGAAGAACGTCTCTGATTACTTATTACCAGAAAACCTAATCACAAAGTCTCTGTATGGTTTCATAAAGAGTAGGTCTTGGGTCACTTGCCACTTTGGTCCCCTCAACTTCATCACTAGTGACCGTGAGGCACGCAAAATCGTCATTGTTCTACACTTTAATATATCAAGGGCGTTTGATAATGTGCCTTATAATATACTCTCTAATAAGCCACAATCAATTGTTACCGAAGACCCCTAACCTAGTTGGACAAAATCACTTCCTGGCGATCGCGCCCAAATCGTGAAAGCAAGCTCTGTGCAATCTGAACCTTAACGTACGACTAGCGGAGTTATGCAGGGTAGTGTCCTTGTTCCCTTGTTGTTCATGGTTTACATCAATAGTGTGTGTAACTGCTTCAGCGAAGGCAAAACATCCCCATGTGCGTATGATATGGAGGTTGTGTACACTTGTCAATCTCATGAACTAAGTGATACTCTGGACACTGTCCAACAGGGACTAGGTAAACTTGCATCATGGTGTACTGGGCCCCACATTGAATTCGATAACGACAAATGTGGTTAGCTTACCATAGGCAACGACAACCATGACCCGACCCCCAAGGTATGGGGAAAACAGCTACCTAGGCTGCCTTCTGTGGTATATCTTGGCATCAGATATTCCAGAGTCCTGACATTCTCGGAACAAACAGAATATATCAGATCCAAGTCACGCAAACTCTTGGGATGCATCATTCGTAACTTCTATGGCACTGAACCACGGGTTCCACCTTATAAAGTGTGCATTCGCCCACTTTAAGAATATTGCTCGTTTATTCTCAGTGGCCTCCGTAGAAGCGATGGACTGAAAGTTGAAGGGGTACAACTTTACATCACCTTCAGAACATTGGGAACTGACTGTAGTCTAGACTACGCGTCCAGATGTGACATGTCAGGGTAAGAACAACTCTGGAAGAGGAGACCTAAACTGGACCTCATATTTCATCATAAGTTACTTCATTAGCACGTGCACTATTCTGGTCCACAAATCAAGCTAATTATAACGTCTACATACAATATGCGCAGCCATAAAGTATTGGTTGAAACTGATTGTTGTACGAACAGTCGCGAGATGATTTCTTCTTCAGTAAATTCCCACACATTTGGAATAGGCTCCCAGAAGAAACGCGTACGGCGAGTGCGGTAACACTTTTCCGCTTTTCATTCAATAAGCTGCTTATGAACAATGAGTCTATCGCTCAGTTAGCCACTACCTATTAATTCTGGGCCAATGAGGATGAACTTGAACCTCTAAATGTATGGTACGGAGTTGTTTTGGTCCGCGAGTTCCCCTTGCACTGATGGGTTTACAGTTGCGGACAACGGTGCGAGCACCGGCTCCCCTCCTTGGTACAGTGAGCTTAATTATGTACTGCTTTCTTCCCAAAGCCACTACGGTACACCCCAGATATAGAGGTGGAAAAGCTATGTAGTTAATTACACATGGGTACATGAAAATGTACATAAAATTCAAATGGATCTTAGAGTAAAGGGACTTCTCCCCTCTCCAGGCTGTACTGCGTCGTATTTCACTTTTCCATATCTGCTCGTGCTTCTTCCATCTTCTCCCGTTTTCAGCAACAACTCGATGAGGACATTTGGTGCAGAATTTCAATCTGAACGTAACTACTGAGCGGAAATAATACCTGTTGATTTGACTGCAAGAATTATTGGGTTGCTCTCAATCTTTCGCGGTTTCTGGAACATCATCACGATCAACTCACCTGCTGGTCAGGATTCTTAAAGTGACGAACCGTCTAAACTTTCCCAACAGTTACAGTGGTACAAATATTCCGAACAAAAGATTAAACGAGACCAATTTAGCTATTGGCTCGGAACACGACCTACTTGCAGTTGTTCCACACTACATACTTTCTAGTAATCTGCAACGAGTGATCTTCGATTAAAAATTACTTGATTTATCTGAACACTGAAGAGTACTCGAACGTTCACCGATGGGGATCATTGGTAGTTAGTTACTCCGTATTAGATTTGTTTAATTCATTCACAGCACACAGCAGCACAGCTTTATTTACTTGATGACATCTCTTGCAGATGAATAATTCTGTATTTCTCTGAGTGTATATCAAGTAAAAAAATATTAATAAGTAACTACGTTCCGCCATAATGCCTAAGTTTTACACTTACACAACATTGCCACTTCATTTACCATCAGTATCCATTACCAACAATGTAGTTTTCAGTTTTTGACGGCACCTTTCAACAATTTGACTAGATATGTGATGGTAGGCAGCGAACCTTACGTGTGTGACCCCAAGAAATTCGGCCAGTCACTGAACTAGACAACACTCGAATAGCGGTAGTAATAACATTTGGGACAACAAAGTTGTAAATCCAGTGTTAGATAGTATTCTTCGCAATAGCAGAGATGTCATACAAAGCTGCTGCTAATGGTTGCCCGTAAACACACCCGGAGACGTAGTTAAAATCGTTTGATTTAAATAGTGGCCGAAGAATGTCAACATGTACGTGAATCCATGCGCCATCTTGTGGTTGAACTTGCTGGTATGGAAAGTATGCTGCAAGATCCCCAACCTCCTCTGTGAAAAATAATAGGTTTATTCAGTCTCTTTCCAATGTCTCGTTGCAGAAGGAGGTTTGCCGTAATTACGATAAATCCATTCATGAATAGTGGTCCGCTTTCTAAATTATTTCAGTTGTCTATCATCATTATAACTAGTCACCTCGTTATATGTAATCGAATAGCTCGCTAATCAAGGTTGGACCGCCTACACTTGAATGCTGGTCTTTTGCACGCAGATTGGAACTGCCAAAGGCGTTAAAAATAGCAAATGGTGGCTGTACTTCACGCTGATACTTTAAAAATGAGATTGGATCTCACACTTCTACATACAGGAAGGATTAATGTAAGCCATCGACTTACTGTTCCTACCATGAAACATTGAGGAAACCTTGAATAGAACAATCCACTTAGAATAGTGGGGTCAATTAAGCATGAGGAGAACCTGACAGTGAATAACCATTTTATGAAAACATTTCCTACTGAAAGGCTGCGCGAAACTTCCTCCTTATTAATTGCATCCATAAGCAAACAGACCAACACTTAACTTCCTGTTCTGTAGATCAGAGCTATAGCAGACGAGTGGCTGGACCTATTGCATCGGAATCCGCAAAGATCTGGAGCCGTTCCGCAAGACCAAGAAGCGAGCGAGAAGAAATCAACTGGTTTACACAAGCTCGTTATAAAGATGTTGGATATTGGGTCTAAGTGGACGTAGATATAAATGAAGAGTCCACCGAGTGTATGTACGGAAGCCATTTTAATGAAAGCTTCTTAATTCCATCAACAAAAATTTGAAACCAATTAATTCTTAACGACTGGATTTACAGCGCTTGAAACAAAACTGGCGATACTATCACTTTGAAGTGTTTTTATTCTTTTGTTGGTTTGTTGTTCTAGACGGTTTTAAAAGTTTGTGAATAAGGCCTAGTTGTTCAGTTTCTCATGCGTCGGATTCGTGATGTTCAGGAGCTTAAGGTGGGTAACTATGTTCTGTAAACGAAGTGACTTTCAAGGCATGCATCCAACGTTGTCGACGAGCAGATCTTGATAGACTAATAAAACTTACTAATCTTCCCCGTGGAGGCCTGAAACAAGATATTCAGATGAGGCTTATTTCGTATCTAGAGCAAGATCCTTCAACAGAATTCATTTCTGCCCTCCATGAACTAAGAACTCTTATGTATGGTGCAACTAGTAAGATTCATAGTTTTTCACTGATATTTCATATGAAAATTACGCAATGAAACATTTTTTTGTTATTGACTTGACCTAGTTATACCGCATTGAATACTAATCACTTAGTCCTTAGGTGGTTTGTCGTTTTCCATTCATTCACGCTTAGCCACTGAGCTGGTTTACATATAATTCACCTATTAACCCGTGCAAGGGCTGGGAAATCTTGCAAAGGGTTCTCCTTGGTGCATGAGTGCGTTGGTCTTGAGTACTACTGGTGTGTGGCATGTGTTATGCATGTTATTTCAATCGGTTTTGTAAATACATTTTGGTGGATATTCTGTTGGTGTTAACTGTATACCACCCGTCAAACTGCAGCTAATTAGTATGTTTTTTTTCTACCTAACCGGTATATTAGAATAACTGCATGGCTTTCGGATTTTAAAAAATATACTAAGATGACCAGTGGACATGTGTACAGTCTTTAATTTCTTTTCTGAATCACTTAGAAAGGCAGTAATATTTAACCACCTAAAAGCCATTCTAGCCATTAATTGTCCAGGTTCCTACCATATTTACTCTCTCTAACGCATCTGGTTTACATTCCAAACACGTTCTGATCCATTCTCCAAAATGTATAATATACTCCGGGTATTGTATCCAAAATTTCCTTCACCAGAAGCCTTGAAATTGATACTTTAATCCTAATGGCTGAGTACTATGACCATCTAGTAGTAAGAACGAACAACCTTTCATCTTATTTTACGCACCTCTCTACAACGTGGTAAATTGAACAAACGTATCATCTAAGGGTAACTAGTTTTGATTTAGTGTCCAAAGTTCATTTCATTATCAACATAGGACCAGGCATTACTGCGTAACGGTCCGAGTTGCCACACCTCACGTCAGTTCATCAAGTGGAAAGGTAGTGAGGTGAAGGATGAAGATAAGTGAATGCAGTCAAAAGAAATATAGAGTACGAGAAGAAAGGAAAGAGGAGTGACAAAATGGTGAGATTCGGTATAGCGTTGTTAAGTGTCCAAAGTTAGTTTTCTGGACGGTTTTTCAGCCCATAACAACTTTCAGAATTGACATATATATAGCAGCCAAATATATAAAGTCCCACAAGTTTGTTTATACGGGTTAGAAAATTTGAAACAACTAAGGGTGTTGATGCCGTACCGATGGCTGCTACCCTGATATGGTAGTCCCGCTTGTATACTACAATAACCCAATGAGCTACCCCGACTGAAACACTTGTTCCAGTACATTAAGCTGGTTAAAACTTTCTATTCGAACTCATGCAGCCGTCTAAGGGCGGCTTATGGAGAGTGGTCTTCAATGCTGACGAGAACTAGTGTCCAGAGATGCCCACCGTCACCGTTCCTGTTTAGCTTCGTTATAGACGTAATAATGAATGTAACCTTAGTTACATCGGAATTCCCAGGGGTAGACCTACTCCTTACGGGTCATCTTGTTGATGTGAAGCAAGCAGAGTGCATTATTTTGCTAGGCGGGGACGCTCGTGCAATGCAGGGTCTTAACTCGTTAAGCAAAATTCTGAGTGTTTGGCATGCGTTTCTCTGGCACCTGTTAAGTGCAACATGATGCTTCAGAACTGGTCTGCTGCAAGAACTCCCAGTGTAGTGATATGAAGTGAGGTGGTTGAATTTGTCGACCACTTCACTTACTTGGGGAGTTGCATCAGCCCGAACGGTTTTGTTGATGAAATCTCAGCTTGGATACACATGGCCCCTTTTGGCACTTACCAGCCTGCGTCATCTGTGTTGTCAACTGGCGAGATTTCCAGCTATCTACCAAAATACGAGTATACTGCGCTTCAGTTCATTCTTTCCTGTGATATGGTTGTAAGACATGGCCCTTCAAAGAAGACAAAGCGATTACTGGGTTTTGATCACAGATATCTTCGCAGCATTGCTCGCGTTTGGTGGAATCAATGCGTGACCAATGTTAAGTTCAGGCTGGGAGTACTAAGCAAGACAGGGAAGTCGATTGATGAGGTTGTGGAACTTAGTCGACTGAGATGGCTTAAACATGTACTGTGCGGATGTATTCACCCTCTAACGTCTAAAGCTCGAATATTCGCACTAACTTATTTTCAGATTATTTTTTAACACTACTTTATCTTCAAAAGCATTTCCGTTCACCTGTTCTTTGTATACTACTGTGAATTGTGACTGGCACCTTGGGCCAGTGCACCTATGTGCTAGGTTCTACATTGATTTTGTCAGTCAGTCAGCCTCCTCGATGTCGTACCATGACAGGTCTGTTAGATAGTAGTAAAACGAAAAGCAGTTGCCGTTGTAGTGTAAACTGATACACTGTACTAGGGGTCCAAGGGCAAAGTCGTACTGCAGGCGGGTTGTGGTGTCACAGCAGGGTCAAGCTGATGCTGTCTTCCCCTTGGAAAGGGGGCGTTAGCAAAAGGTCAGCCTCCAAAGTAGCACATTCCTCTGTTTCCCATAGTCTCGCGGTGCGGGCGGTTTGGGTTTTCTCTTCTCGACTTTAGAACTATCAAGTCTCATACCAATAATCCGCAAAAGGATGGGTGATGGATCTCAAGCAAATGTTACATAGGCTCTACGGTCGCATAAGTGTTTTTTTCTTTCACGTACGTTTGGAAGAAATGTGGACAGTCAGGAAGTGTCAACTGCCCGGGTGCTTCCGGTGGTATACTAAACCCAGTCAAACAACTTACCTCCTCGAACCGTGTCTCCTCCCTATCCTTCACCTCTTGATAGTAGTCTCACACTTCTTGCACCTCCCTCAACCTCTCACTCTGCAACCGTTGCCAACCATCAAACCCATCGAAACCTCACTCCCAGTCTACTAAGACCCCACCATCAACTTCATGTAGAAGCTTTCAATGTCCAAACTCTGCCAAATCGGACGCCAAGCATCGCCCGCAAGAATTGTGGAATTTCTAGCCATAGATGTATGCTGTGTGGATGGGACATGTATATGGAACCCCAGTGTGGCTATTAAATTGACCTCATCTGGCCATAGTAGTGAATCTTCAAAATTCACTTTAAGAGTATCTGCGGAATTAGTAGCTAGCTCTCGTAAACTTCATGGTAAGCATGGCATTGAGTTGTAGAACAGAGCGCGCTTCTCGACTGGATACTAGTAAACAGCTGTCTATGTGCTGTTCGACTGAACCTATCTGTAAAGACTAGGAAGGATCGTAATGCCAAACGGTACATATTCATAATCCCCGCCTACGCACCCACCAACTGTAGCTTGAATGGTGCAAAAAAAATAATTCTATCATCAACTGTCAATTTCGTTACAGAAAAAGAAACCTTCAGATGTAGTCATAATGGCAGGTGACTTCAGCGTTCAGTTGGGAAGCTGAGCCAATCAGAAACGTATCCTGGGTGTATTTACGGAATCCCGTGCCAACGAACAGACAATGGTGATCGTCTGTTTCATTTTCGTTCCAACATTTACATGTTTCTGGATAGCACTAACTTTAAGCATAAAGAGAGACACAGTTTCACGTGGCAAACCAACGATGGACCGGGATAGTCGACATTACTACTAGTCATCGCTGGAGAGGATCGGTGGAAGATTGCCACTCATTCTGCATTACGTGTTTGGATAGCGACCACGCGTTGGTCCGAGTGCGTATATGCCTGCGTCTCAATGGACGTAGAAAACATTTGGCAACAAAACCACTACGAGTGCTGCTGGACAACGAAAACACCAAAACCGTGTTAAGTAAGAAGTTGGCTAGGCAGTTATCGGAACAGAAGACTATCACTCATCCAGAAGAAGCTTGGTGCCATCTCCAGTCTGCTGTAAAAGCAGCGCTGAAAACCGTAGCTGACTTGGAAATAGTGACTAAAAAGAGCCAGTGGATATCAGCAGCTTCTTCCGAACTAATGGATGCACGTAAACGCATGCCTGCAGGCCCCGAGTACAATGAAGAGCGAGCGCAACTAAAAAGTAGATCGAGAAGACGTCTACGCAACGACCGCAGAACACTTCGAGGAACAGTTTAACTGGCCTCCAGCCACCATTACGTTGCCCGCTATCCAGTCGGATCCTGAATGGAACATTGAGATAGACACCTTAACACTCGTAGAAGTCGAGAAAGCAGTGGGTAACCTGAAAAGAGGAAGGGCGGCGGGACCGAATGGGCTAACTCCTGAGGTATACAAGGATGCTGGTAGAGTGCTCTTAGTCAGGTTAACGGAAGTGTTAACTAGTATATGGGAATCAAATACTATCCCCTCTGACTGGTCTAAATCACTGATTATCCCAGCCTTCAAGAAAGGCGAGAAGTCCTCTTGTGATAGCCACAGAGGAATCAGCCTGACGAACATAGTATCCAAAATCCATTCTATAATTCTCCGATGCCTGAGTGGAGCTCGGGAACAGCAAGCCCGAGAAAACCAGGCAGGCTTTAGACCTGGCCGCGGGTGTATTGACCAAATATTCACGCTGCGCCAGGTCCTGGAACATAGGCATGCTTACAGACGCCCGACAATAGCTGTATTTCTCGACCTGAAGGCGGCATTTGACTCCGTTGATCGAGAAGTCTTATGGCAATGTCTCAGTGAAAGGCACGCCGAGTACATCACCTTAGTGAAGGCTGTCTACTCGAACACTTGTGGGCATGTTAGAGCCTATGGTGAGGTGTCCGGAGAGCTGTCCTCATCGAGTGGTGTCCATCAGAGCTACCCACTGTCTCTATTCTTATTCAATTTCATCATAGATATTCTCATGGAGGTCTCTCATCACCTGATTACACAGACGTTGACCTAATCTCAGGAGAATTTTCGCTAGACCTAGAATATCCAGATGACATAGTTCTGTTAGGTGAAGACGCTGACAAGTTGCAGAGTAGTAATTTGAGAATGTTTAGGATGTGGTTCTCACCACCCGAATGCAAATTGTTGCCTCAGGATTGGTCTTCAACAGTGCCGCGGCTAATAATAGAGAGTGGAGTGATTAAGTGCGTCAACCACTTCACTTACCTGGGAAGTAGGATCAACCCTGGTGGCTGAGTGGCCGATAAAACCTCTGCACGGATACAAAAGGCTCGGCTGGCTTTTACCAAATACATCACCTATGATGCTGCCGTGATACCCGATTGTCTATTAAGGGTCTTGTGTACTGCACAGCAGTCCACTCTGTTCTACTGTATGACTGTGGGACATGGCCATTGAAGGTGGAAGACATGAGAAGGCTTCAAGTGCTTGACCACCGTTGCCTTCATAGTATAGGCCGTATTCTGTGGTGCTACCACGTGAGTAATGCAGAAGTCAGGTGTAGAGTTTTAGGGAGTAGAGGTAAATCAGTTGACGAGGTTGTGAACCTTCATCGATGGAGATAGTTGGAATATGTGTTACGTATGTCTAGTCGTCGATCGCATCGTCACACAATATTGACCGAAGTAGATTTAAGCTGGAAAAAGGCTTGAGGTGGCCAGACTAAAACATGGCACCAATGTATGACGTCTCTGACTGTTGGTTTGAACCATGTGGGGCGATAGAGACTAGCTGGTTGGGGTCAGTGGGAAAGGAGGAACCAGTGGTTGGAGACTAGGTGATATGGCTCATAACTGAAGTCAGTGGCGCAGATGTATACACACATCATCCTTATCTTAACGACGCTGTACCGAATTTCACCATTTTCTCCTTCCTTTCTCTCTTTTCGTACTTCATATTTCTTTTGACTGAATTTTCTTATCTTCATCTTGCACCTCACTGCCTTTTTACTTGGTGTACTAATATGAAGTGTGGCAACTCGGACCGTTACGCAGTAATGCCTGGTCCTGTGTTGATATTGATTGATGATTATGATGATGATGAGGGGGAGGAGGAGAAGGAAGAAACCTGGTGCGATATAAAGTCTACTGTAGAAACAACCGTAAAGACAACTGGTAATTCACACATGAAGGTTAGCAAACGTCATTGAATTTTCGCGACATCTTTCGAACTGATTATGTAAGAAGACTAATTCCAGCTAGCTCTGACCACAATGAAGAGCGAAAGAGACTGAAACAAATTGAACGAGGGTCTTCGCATCGATCGCGAGCATTGGTGGGTAACAAAAGCGGATGACGTGGAAAAGATAACAGGGTTGGTAACACTCAGCAGTTATTTAGGCTTATAACGAATACTGGCAAGAAAAAAGCGATGGTGAGTGGAACCGTCACTGAAAAGAAGGGGACGCTGATAACCTCTCAGGAAAGTCGGCAAGAACATTGGTCAGAACCAGATCTTGGACCAATCGAAGAATAGCGTGGACTAATGTTGGTTTATTGCGTTCACAATTCCATTCAGATGCCGTTCAGTTTTGTGCCGACAAGTGGTCGTTCTGGGGAAGTAATTTGTAATCCCGAGGTAGAAGTACGAATTTTTTGCAAGATATATTCTTGACTCAGTGGACCCCAACCAACGAACGCTGCAAGCTCGAAATAGTTTGAAGTTGACTTCGAAAATTTCCCCGGAACTTTTGGCGACTTAAGTTAAAAGTTTTAATTAGCTCGTATTGATGCGATGGAAATATTTCTGTGATATGTTTCTCACGAGAAACTTACTTTCTGTGATTTCATGAACTCACCGATGAGCACTGAAATTCAGTCAGAGGATTATCGAAAACGTCTAAAGCATAGAATCTTAGCAATAGGTGATTCTTAAAAGGAAACTACGGAGGCCATTTGGGCGAATAAATGCATCAAAACTGGTTTACATTTAACACTGAGACATCAATGATAATTTGGGGATCACTTACAGTATGTACAACAGCTTTACCACATCCAAATATTTCTAATCTTCACTTTTTGTGAATCCACTTGTCATCATCGAAATGCGTTTTTAACGTTGTGGGATACTGATTAATCATTTGGTTAGTTATTTGTGGCCACTATTCTTTATCTTCACTACCTGAGAAATAATTTTATTCGACTCCATCTGAAAACGATTCACTAGATTCCAGATCCGCCAGATCCTTGATACTTGTAAACAACTCTCATGGAAGTCATAAATGTTTATTAGTTTTTATTTGCAGAGTACTGTATTAGTTCTGGTGTCACATAAGCCAATTTATTGCATCTTGTTAATGTAATATAATTTATATTTCAGATATCCAATTTTCTCGACAACGTAACGGAAATTCTAATCCACCCTACTCTTCAGATGATCCTCCAGCTTCTCTTTTGTACTTAACCGCTGCTGCAAACCGTTCTTTAGAATTACTGGAGAATAATACAGGACCACATCCATATTTATCAAGTTCAAAAACTAACTATGGATGTCAAAAGGATCAGTCATTTTGCAATCTTCCAACTTCACAGTCTCATCCAAATAGTACAAGCGTTGTTCAACAGTCATCCTTTAGTGGTGTAAATATTGCGAAAGAAAGGGAGCAACAGTTTCAGAACGAAGACTCGTTTAATCAGCTTATGCACAGGTCATCGCTTTCAGTGAATCCCATGATTAATCCATCTGTTTGGGCAGCTTGGACTTCTGCCAATAAATTACTACCAGAACATCAGAGTGCAGCAAACTCACAACTCTGTTCCTCCCAGAGTCCCCAGACTTCTTTTAGCAACTTCCACTCGTGTTCTCGAACTGCCGCTACCTCTTCTCTGTCCACTTCATCTAGCTCAAATATGACAGTTGTTAATTCAAGTCTGTCTAAGTATTCTGAATGTACTCAGTCTACAGTTGGTGCACCTTGCTCTGAATCAAAAATAGCTACTATCACATACAAAATAGGGCCACTCATAACATTAGCTGGAGGTAAGAAATGTGACATGGTAACCGCTTTCCTTTTAATATGGATATAAGCTAATTCGTAATGTGTTATATTCTATCAAATCTGTGTAAAGGTATTTTTGCTATTTGAAAAAATTGAAATGCACTTATCAACATTGTGCACCTTCGTACAATAGGCAATGGGCCACACCTATTGGTTGAGAGCTGATGATAATACCTGGCTGCCCAAACGTAGATAGGTGGAGCGGGGGTCGCTATTAAATGACGAGATATCTAAAACCTGTGTTGAAGTAAATATAGTGAAAATTTATAATTCGTATTTCGTAGAACCATTGTAAAGTAGGTGCATCTTATTTTTCATAGAATCATGACAACTCACAGCCTTCATTATAGTAAACTTACACTATTGTGCAATCTCATTTTAGAAGGCGGTTTTTCCAATTGTAACAGGGAATTAGTCAAATAATCACTCGTCCAAACACTAATTCAGACTCAAGTCACTTTGAGGCTTCCCACCTAAGAAAAACTTTTATTTTACTGGTATATGTGATATCAGGTGAAGCCTGGTGATTGACAAGATTCAGTCGGCACTTGGGACTAGACAGCGTGAAATTGGTTACTATTCAGTGACCGGTCAAAGTAAATTTTTATCAAACCTGACTGAATACATGTCGAATAGAGTTCATTTTTTAATTTTATAACAATTTCTCTAAAGAAGCAAATCTTCGGTACTTTTTGAAACAATTAGTCCCTTTTATGAATTTGGATAATGTAATTAGAAGACGTAGATTATCTGAAAAATGTGATGTATTAGTGCTATACATTTCGAACAATCTGATCACACATTTACTTGTTAAGGCATTATATATGAAAACTGGAAGTGGGGGAAGGACAAATATGACATAAAGGAATTCAATAATAAGAAAGATAATGAGAGGAATAAAAAATAAGACTTGAAGACAATCTTGGTAATACGATAAAATAAGCATTACCAAGGTAGGCTTAATGTAAGGACAAACTGTTTTTGAGTCGTGGTACTTTTACTCATGATATGAGGTAGATCAGTCTGATTGTGCAAAACCACCAAGCGTTTCGCGTTTTTGGGTTTTCGTGTCCTGCGAAGCTTTCGTCAGAAAAGTCTGTTTTAAAAGTTAGTCGAAAATAATACTAGTTTTCCCCCAGCTCTACTTGCGCATTTTTGGCTTGTCGACTCAGTAATTACTTAGTCAGTCATGCTGTAGTGTATTACAATTTATGACTGCGAGTCTGTATCAATCAATACGACTACCATGTACTTTTTACGTCCAGCAACTGCTCAAGTTTTGCTTTACTGGTTACTGTTAGGATAGGTTTGAAGGCGAAAACCGATGATAAAGCAATTGATTACTCATGCTTCTTAGGGTTCAGTAGTCGGAAGCGTGAGATGAGGTCTAAGAAAAGCGTGCAATCGTATTGTAAAACTTGGGCACTGTGGTAGAATGTAATTTCATATTATATTTGTTTATTTGATGTATAACATAGTGTTACAGTATTATTTACTTGATGACGTTTCGAGCATGAATCATCGCTCATAATCATATCAGTGTGAAAGGGCAAATATATTTCTGTCAACGAATTTCATTGTAATAGTTGACATGTTTTGTGTATGTTATAATAGTTGAAACCTTCACTGGACTAGAAATTTGTTCTTTCCTTGGTGAATCAGTCTAGTATCCGTTTCGATAAATGGCACAGCTAAAAGTAACACACTTTACTACTGAACGCTTTCATTCATTGTGGATCGTATTCGAACACATGGAATCATGAGTTCGTCTTTTCCCAACGACTGACTTTTTGTCTACACTTCAAACAATTGCACGCTGGTGTTAAATCATTAGGTTCCTCTGCACAAACCCATTCATTCATCCAGTAATAAAATGATGTGAAGTCACAAATTAATTCTGTATGTCTTTTTCACTATAACTTTTATTCGTTGCGAAACTGTAGCTAATGGATCGTTTCGGCTACCTGCTGTTTTGCCTGAATTTCATTTCATGGAATCTCCTTTTTTAAACTGCTCGACGTTCTCTTGCCTCCACAAGTTATTCTTCCTGCACATATTGGTTTTGCTACTGGCCGTCGCTCTTACGACCGTTCTCTAGCTTTGAGATTCACATCAGATCAAGCAGAGACCATTACTTATCATTGGTGAGTATAATTGTTTTCTTCGTAATGCCTTTGCGTTATTTTTAAGTTGACTGAAATCGGCATAACGCTCATTTAGTCTCTCAACTCCGAGAAAAACATCGAAAACACTTAAACCTTCCACATACTTAGTATGCAAAACGAGACTTAATGAAATTTCTCGATTTGTAGCGTCTACCTTGATCGGATGGGGCAGTTTGAATTTCAAAATAAGTCGACGAGATGTGCTGGTGGAAACTTTTATTCCTTGAGGCCCTACCATAACAGAAAAGTCTATTGAGGAGTAGCAAGCATGAAAGCAACTACCTTTATAACCCAAATAATTACTCTGAGATGGGTTAAGTTTTATTGCTGGTGAGATGGAATGTGACGACAGCAAAATGTTTCTCTTAGATAATTAGCAGTAGAAAAGGTAGAAAAGGTCGACCGTAAAAATAACGCACTCTTCCTATACTTTTGATAATCATGTGTTGGTGGTATGCCTTTCCTAGCTAGATTTAGGACAGGTGACAGGTTTACCAAAGGCACGATTTAGGGAATTCATAAATTTTAATAGAGCTCTCCAGCTGAATACCCTACATACTTGGTTATGCATACTACAATAAAACGGCGAGGTACACAGGTGCATTTGAATCTAGGACAATGAACACAAAGGCTTTCTGAATATTTTCAAGTTGATGTATAAGAGGGTTGGGAGGCATGAGAAAATTGACTGAAAAATTACGTGGATTAAAGTTAAGTTGCATCGTCGTGAATCAAATGATTGATAAGCTATTGACGAATGAATACTAGCAGCAGATCTGGTCATTAAACAGAACGTGTTGGAAAGGAAAATATCGATAACACAAGAACAAAAATAATTAGCTGGTAATGTTTTACAAACATAAATTACATGCACTGAGTCCCCTGATGAACTCTAATAACCCAATGAGGACACCATTTGCAAAATAAGATGACGTCATTTTATTTCATAGGTTTTTCATCAAATGTATACTACCTTATGAGGAGCGTTGATATCATGCCTGAAGTTTGCTACCTCCACTTGCTTCTAATCTTATTCATTTGTGAACACTCGTCATCTTACCTCATATATCATTTATTTAGTCTGACTGAATTTATTACTCAAATTTCATTTGTATTCTGAATTGTGATATTTTTCTGATCTTCAAAACATTAACTGGTATATTGAAAAGCTCCTTATTAGGTTGTATAGATTTGACGAAAAACTTATGAAACATGATGACGTCATCTTATTCTGCAAATGGCGTCTTCATTGGGTTATTTAAGTTCATTAGAGGACTACATGTAAGTAATATATGCTTGTTAATCGTCATTATCAGCTATTTTTGTTCTTGTGTTATCGATATATTCCCTAGTAACTTGTTCTGTTAAATGAGCATATACGCTTTTCATTTCCTTCAAATCTGAAGTCTTTGTTAACGGTTAGAGTTCATGGAATAGCATCCATAGTCTCCCGAAACCCCTCTCCAAAATTCAATGACTAGCTCTCTTGGTATTGTTGACGCAGGTGTAGCATTAAGTCGTGGTGCAAAATGTGCACTCCTCAACTGCTTCCCGATTGGTAGCCATCTGTACGCTGTTCGACTAAGTGGTACAGCGAGGACTAAAAAGAACAGTGGAAGTCTGTTATTTGTCCGTAGTTTCTGCTTACGCATTCATCGGCTGCAATTCGGATGAAGCAGAAGATGAAAACTTGCGGCCTACTACTGAAAAGCCAAACGTTAAGACGTGGTTTTCTTAGCAGGTGATTTCAGCAGAAGAGACGATTGGGAGGATATGCGGAACACTTTGAGGAACAGTTCGTTTGACCTTTGGCGATTCCATTGTCCTCTATCTGGTTGGATCCTGAATGGCACACTGAAATGTGCAGCCTTCTAACCCTCGTGGAAGTTGACAAGACTAATTGACGTGAAAAAAAGAATCGCAGTCTTTTGTCATAGGGATATAAGGATGGTCGTCAAGGATTGTTGTATTTCACTTACTGTCATAAACTTATAACTTTAGAGCCAGAAACAGTTGTTAAAAAGCAACTATTTACTTAGATTATTCTTGTTCTCAAGGTTGTATTCATCACTGACTGACATAAGTTGAGAAATTATAGAAAATCCAGGAGTACTGTGCACCTGTTTTGTCCTAGCATCGGACTCAGCAGCGCACATCCGCGACCCCACCATGGTTTTTATCAAGGTCTCCCTCTTCTTATGTAACTGGTCTTGACATTGTCGTATGAAACTTCCTTGGAAACCTAGGGTACGCGGAAGATGTAGCCCCGTTAGGTAATGTTATTAACAAGATGCAGAATATTCTGAACAACTTGAAAATGTTTCGGACTCGTTTCTCAAGTGCGAATCGCTGTTATAGCAATAGTTTGTATAAGTGCTTTTTTATGAATAAGGAGCGTAGAGGTTGAGTGCGTTGATCGCTTCACTTTCTTGGAAAGTCAGGTCAGCCATCATGGGTCAGTGACGGATGGTATCTCTGTACGAATACTAAAGAGTTGTTTGGCTTTCGCCAACTTATGCCATTTATGACACCGCCATGATATGTGGTTTCTTTTTGGAGTGTCGAGTATGCTGCGTTACTGTTCCCTCTATCCTCCTGTATGGCTATTTAATGGCTATTAAAAGTGGAGCGCATGAAAAGGCTTGAGGTCATCGACTACTGTTGTCTTCATAACATGAGACGTGTGTTGTAGTGCCAGCACATAACTAACGTAAGAGTGAGGGGTAGAGCTTGAAGTAGAAGAGGTAAGTCAGTTGATGAGGTTCTGAATCTCAGTCACTACCTGTCCCGTTGCAGTAGGTTAGCTAAAGTTGGTTTAGGTCGACGAAAGGTCAGAGGCATCCAAACTAAAACCTGACATTAGTCCATGAATTCTTTGATTGTTAATTTTAGCTGTGTAAGGGAATGTAAACTTCCCAGTCAGGGTTTCCAAGACAACTAAAATCAGTGGTTGAACACCACCTTATGGAACTGAGAATCGATCTTCCACAGATTATCTTTGCCGAGTTTCATTATTTCTTCATTCCTTCTTGTCCTATTTTTACTGTTTTCTAGCACTTGATTACTTTCTTATCATGCTGATTCTTCCTCATATCTTCCACCCTTTGATGTCCTGAATTGAGGTTCAATAACTTAATCGTGATGCAGTAATATCAGGTCGTATTTTTATGGTAACCACACTATTGGATGTTAATTATTGAAAAAAGAGTTACCTTTCTTCACCAGGAGCCTTAGATATGAGGAAAGTGTTTTGTACTTTCAATGTGTGACCATAATACTTAATACACAATGCATGTAACTACACCCGTGGAGTTATGGTTCAAGCACTCGATTTTTGAGCGGTTAGCTTATCTTTTCAAAACCGCTGCACCCATTTCGACATGTTAATTGTTGGTCACAGTTTAGTGCACAAACCGGTCCCGGATAAGCGAGTTACATGGATTAAACTTTTAAAATTATATCTGGTGTTTAAATGCAGTCTGTTCACAACACAAGTAATCTATCTTTTTTCGTAAGTGTGAACCGTTGTCATAGCTTTTGGCATACACTGATTATTATAGTGTTAAGGACTACACTCGTCGTCTGGGATTTTCGCTCTTCATCTACGTTAATTCTCATAAGGAACAGTTGTTACACGAACTACTAAATCTGATTTGCCAAGTGTGTATGCATATGATTTATTAGTTAATTAGTGTTGAAATGTGACACCAAGGCGAGAAGTAGTAAACGATAAACGGTGTCATATTTGTTTTCAACACAAACTTGAATACAATTTTGCTTTCGTTATGATTAATCGTAACCTTGTTGGTTTTGTAAAATCAACTTTTTTCTAGCTGGCGTGGAGCTGATGAGCGAATGGAATTCGGAGTACAAGTGATTATGCGTTTTGGTCGTTTAAATCCTCAAGCTTGTGAAAATCTTGTACAGACGTATGAGTTGACTGGTAGTCGTAAGTCGGGTAGTTTTTCCCTGAATAAGCCAATCAAGATTCCACTAGTTGAAGATAGTCTTCCGGTTCATTTAATGATTCAAGTCAATGGTCGTTCTGTTCAACTGCCCCCTCTTTTGCCAAGTAATCGTCCAGGAATGGATGGTCGCCGCAACCCTAGACCTATTAATATTACCCAGTCTGTAAGTATTTTGTATTTACTTGTAGTTCTGGTAAGCCTGTCTGTGGTTTGAACTAATTATTAAGCTTCCGTTTTATGGTGAGTTTTCTCGTGTTTAGTGGGAGTGATTGAATGATACTTCGTAGATAGTAACTATTCTCTTACCTGAGCAATGTTGATGAGCATGTTTGCTCAACCTGGCAGAAGACTATTTATGGGTCATGCACACTTTCATTTACCTCACTACAATATATATATATATATATCACCATTTTATATATCGATTGTTTGTATCGCACTTGAGTGCCATTGTTCCACCTTTTTCTCATGTCATAGTTTTTAGTTACCACAAAGATAACAGAATCATGCGCTTTCATTTCGGTTTTAGTATGAAAAGAGAATAAGTACCCTAATTTTTCCGCTTACTATTTGAGGCTATAAACTAACGGAGTACTTTGTAGGACGCTAATTACTTCGAGACTAATTATTAAATTTCGGAGAGCCTGGTCTCACCACCATTTCGTAGGACCCTGGACTATTTTCTGAGCTGTGTTTAGAAATATTGGTTTCTGGGATTATGTCTGTGGGATCATAGAAACCAGTGGTCAGAGATTCTTTGTGATAGGATTAGAAATCGATCACTGTGACGCAGGTGTATAATGTGTCTATCATCTTCGAAATTGAACTTTCACTCATTTATCTCCTCTCCTTCCGTACACTTTGTCTCTCTCAATGTTCATTTTTTAGACATCCTGAAAGGTAACAAGAAGGCCGAGACGACGGAAGGAATGTTTATTATTAACAAGTAGCACAGAAGTCCTTAAATATGGTACACCTTGCACTAAAATCGTCATTTGCAAAATGTGCTTCATTTCCTCTTCTCCTTCTCTTTTGATTGGCTCTTCATACGCCTACGTTTTCTCTTGTGTTTCTCTTGGCAGAATCCTTTCTCATTGTTGGTAATTCCCCATAATTTCTGCCACTCCCCCAACATATACTACTGATATCCATTCTTATCGGCAACGCCCACTACAGTTCTTTTGCACATCACTGGGAATTTCGAAAACTTGAAGTGATTCACTTTTGTGCCAGATTCTATTTTAATTTATGTCTCTATGCGTGATTTCGGTGATAATTAAAAGCATAATTTCAGTTGATAACTCCGAATATCAATCACCGTTATCGTTTGTTGTCCGAATTCCTCCAAAGTCCCTTTTTTCTGATTTATGACTGTAAAAAGAATCCTAGCAATAAAAAGTTGGTCACATAGTGCGACTTATTGCACAGATTTATTGACTATGTGAACATTGCTTCTTGCACAATGGGGAAAAATGAAAGATAAGTTTAACTTGTTGACTACATGCAGTTTCATGCATTAAGTAATTAGTCACGTGTATTGTATATGTGTTTATGAAACTGCTTAGCTGCCTGTACGCTAGTTGAGTGGAGCGGAGTTTGAACCAAGGTTTCATGATTGGACAGAGTGAAAAGCGACTACAGAATATTTTGGTAACAGTTAAAAATCGATCATCATTAAAATGACGCAGTTAAATTGAATCTTGCTAATTGTTCTAGATTGTCTACCAGTGTAACAATTTTAGATGAAATTATATCATTTGACCGTAAGTTTTAATATATAACATTGTCTTTTGGATTATCTGACATTGATTTGTACTTATTACTTTTATTTATTAGCTTCATGTTTCTCCTACTGTTCCAAATTATATCAAATTGACTTGGACTCATGATTACACTAGTTTTACATACAATGTTGTTGGGATATATTTAATGCGTAGACGCTCACCAAAGCAATTATGCGATCTCTTACACTCCACTTCACTTCAGAATGCTAATGTAATGCGAGTAAGTTGTATTATTTTCATTGAATAAAAGTCAGTTACCATGAATGTTTAAATATTAAGTGGGGATTAAAATCAAACTACATACATCGACGTTAGTTTGCAAGGATAGTGTCTAGATCATCTGTAAATTGTAACAATCAGCTATATTTCCTTCAAAATCTCTTTAACCAGTTAAAAGCTTCTACATTCAAGAGCTGTTTGTATGCTTTTTCTGTAGTCAAAGAAATAAACTCAGTTGTAACCAGTGAGTTCAGAAAAATAAAATAGATTCAAAATAAGGTATTTACCAGCTGATGTTTAATATTCATTAACTCATGAGTTAACTTTCTTCTTTTCAGAAATTTAAATTTACATCAGGAAACTTAAGCGACAATGTAGAAATCAAAAGCGGAATTAAAAAGTTTTAGTAATCGTTTGTTGTATGTTGGCTACCATTCTAGTTGTTCATTTAAAATACATACTGACGAAGTGATTAGTTGTTGCCTGTAGTTTCTCAAGAAATTTAGCTATGCATGAATCGAAGTTATCCAAAGTATCAGTAGAGTTGAATGTCAATTTCGGTTTGAATTTGTAACTGCGAAGTATATAGATAGATTGATGGCAAGACTCGTCGCCGTTAAAGATAACTGCTGGATTGGATATTGCTTAGCATTATCATACAAGAATAATCGAAGTTGAAAGAACTGATAACTTTCTTCCTAACGATTGGAAATTCTAGCATCTGAACTCGTCGTTTCCCACTTGGGTTCGACTAGACGACCTGGCCTGGCGCGTGGTGTCCCCAAAGCGAAGCGTTGCAATTTGGTCCGCACATCATTTGCTTTCCCTGTACCGGTCGTAGTTTTGAATCCAGCGCATCCTTTAGTCTCTCCAGGATGATGCGCCTTAATATTTTGCTTGGGGTGACAGGGACAGTGGCATGATTCCTCGCCAATCCTTGCAAAGGCTTAGGTCTCAATTCTTTGGAAGTTTGACAAGGTAGCCCTTCTTCCAATCTGCAGGTACCTTTCCTGCCTTCCTTCCAGACCTTCTGCAGCAATGGTGTGAGCATATCCGCTGTTGTCCCTGCGTCTGTTCTCAGTGTTTCTGGAGGAATTCTATCTGGAGTCTTTAACTGTTGACTTGGGGTAGTGGACCACTGATCAAGGCAATTGAGTTCCAATTTTTGGGTTACGGGTTCAGACCCAATCCCACCCCAATGAAGTTCGGGTAACCACGAACCATTCTGATCAGAGTGATCTAAACACCAAACGGCCGTTTCGCTCGTTACATTACTCTGATCTGGCTAGCGAAATACTACAGACCAGTCTGAGTGGTTTCTAACTTCTTAAGTTGTTCTGCAGAAATATCTTTTGCCATTTCATGACACTTTTGTATCAGAGATCACGCATGTGATCTCGGCTGAGTGATCTGCAATGGAAACCCTGTTGATACCACAGTTGCGCAGTGTAATAAACTACTCAATTGTGATAAATGTCAACATCGACCGTGAAATTTGTAAATCATTTGCAAATCGATCATCCTATCTTACATAAAGAGCGTATGCGAGATAGCAACTAGATTATTGAAGCCTTTTGCAAGCAATAAAGCTCACAAAATCTTTTAAATTTCTAACATGCAGACCAAAGGTACAATGGCAAAGGAAGACAAGACAAAATAAACTGCAGAAACTGTGAAAAGCACTATATCGAACAGGGTGGTCGCCTCCTTTGTGTCCACCTACATGAATATGAACTGGCAGTGAAGCGTGATGACATATATTTGCTCATATCAATATATGTAGACAACTGTGGACATGAATTCAGCTAAGGAAATATGCAAATGCTGGATAGAGGATACCAGAGACATTTTAGAAGCTTGGCATTTAAGTCAGTCAGACATCAACAAACATATTCACATAATCTACCAACCAAAAAGAAACACAAAAAAAGAAGGTTAAAGTTCGTATCAACATGCCAACCAATCGAAGTATGGAGACGATGACAAGATTTCAGCAGAAACAAATAATCACACCCGAGACCATCAGGACAGGCTACTAAACCACTTGGGGAGAAATTCCCATGGCTCACTTATTTCTGAAGTTCGTGTTGATGATGTCACCTAGAATGACAACGAAAGCTTCGCAATTAAACCATCCAACTCAGAGAACTCAACATCATCTAGAGTCTCGTTTTCTTCTATTCTTATTATCATCATTATTATTTGTCCCTTGGGTTCCTAGTGAAACATAGGGCTTCAGTAGCACATCTCCATTGCACTCTGTTCTCTGAAATCTTTTGGACCTGGCTCCACGACAGCCCACAAGCTCTCATTTCCTCCTCATATTATCTCCTCCATGTCATCCTCAGCTGGGACGCCCAACTCGTCGTTTCCCATTTGGGTTCGACTAGACGACCTGGCCTGGCGCGTGGTGTCCCCAAACCGTCTTCTAAGTGTATGCCCAATCCCATCCATCGCCACTTTCTTCTGCATATTTGTTGGGTGATAGGTTCTTGGTTGGTTCGTCGCCAGGCCAGACTTCCTTGTTGCCTATTCCCATTATTCTGGCCATCTGAGCTTCAGTATCGAGCCAGCGTGGGTAGTTGTTGATGAATGTCTGTAGCTCGTTGGATATCCCTTTCGTAACGCGCCAAGTCTCTGAACCATATAGAAGCACTGGCTTGACATCGGTGTTGAAAATCCAGATCTTGTTCACGCTTTATGCTGAATGTAGATCTCCACACTGGTTTCAGGTTAATGAACGCCTGTCTTGCTGTCTTTCCAATCCTGGTTGCTTTGACGTCCTCGTCTGTACCACCCGTAGTTGAAACGGTGATGCCTAGATAGGTGAAAGAGGCTACTTCCCTTAAGTTTCTCCCGTTGATGGTGATTGGTGTTAGTTGTTGCTGGTGGTGTCGGTTGAGTATCTTCATCACCTCTGTCTTCTCTACGTCCACTTGAAGGAAGTCCCGTCTTCGCTGCCCTGCCTCTTCTGTCAACTTGTTGGATTTTGCCTGTAGATCTTCAAGTTTGTGTGACATTAGACACAAATCATCGTCGACGAAATCCAAATCTTCTAGGATATTTTCCCCGGTCCAGTGTATCCCCCTCTTCTCACTGCTCACTGTTTGTTGCATGATCCAGTCGACCACAATCAGGAAGATCATGGGTGATAGTAGGCGGCAGCCTTGGTTTACTCCTGTCTTCACTTCCAATTCAAAGGCATCACTGAGCTTCCCATTGTGAATTACTTGGCATGTGGAGTCTTCATATAGTTCTTGAATGAGATTGATAAAGGTTTGTAACACTCCGTCGTGTTGAAGCAACTGCTAAATTACTTCTCAGTCAAGGCTGCCGAAGGCCTTCTCAAAATCGATGAAGTTGAGATAGAGAGTTGACTACCATTCTATGTTCTCTCCAATGATGATGCGAAGCGTTGCAATTTGGTCCGCACATGATTTGTACTTCCTGAATCCAGCCAGTCAGCCCGTTCTGGTTGTAGTTTTGAATCCAGCGCATCCTTTAGTCTCTCCAGGATGATGCGGCTTAGTATTTTGCTTGGGATGACAGGGACAGCAGCATGATTCCTCGCCAATCCTTGCAAAGGCTTAGGTCTCAATTCTTTGGAAGTTTGACAAGGTAGCCCTTCTTCCAATCTGCAGGTACCTTTCCTGCCTTCCTTCCAGACCTTCTGCAGCAATGGTGTGAGCATATCCGCTGTTGTCCCTGCGTCTGTTCTCAGTGTTTCTGGAGGAATTCCATCTGGTCCTACTGCTTTGCCGGATTTCAGCAGTTTTATGGCATTCAGGACTTCGACTTTCGTCGGGGGGCCTGTGTTCACTGGTAGTTCTGCCGTTGCTGATGGTATTTCAAGACGATTTGCAGGTGGTGGTGGGGGTGGTGGATTCAAGAGCTTTTTGAAGTGGTCAGTCCACTGTTTCCTTTATTTTTCCTCTTTGGTAACTAAGTTGTCTTCACTTTATTTCATTGGTTTCGTCTACGTTGATCTCTTCCCTCGCAGATAGTAACTTGGTTATTTGCGTCGGTTATTTGGTCTTTGCGCGCACTCTTCTTCACTTGTTTGTCCGGTGTAGTGTTTTATACATTGTACTCAGTTCCTCTTCTCATCGTTCATCTTTGCACTGGTTTATCTTCTGCTTCACCATCCTCCTCTCCATGCTCTATCAGCTTCCATGTGTCCATCGAGATCTATTCCTTATCTTCTTTCTTCTTCCTTCCCAATACGGTTATGCAGGTTTCTTTCCACATCTCTTTCAAAGACTTCCAGTGTTCATCCACACAGGTTTCTTCAAGGATGTTGCTCGATATCTCCCATTTTGTCTTGATGGCTGACGTGAAGATTTTCCTTGTAGTTTCGTCCTTCAGTTCAGTTTCTGTTCTGGGTGTTGGACCTGAACTGTGGTCTATCACCAATCTCCTTGAAGGCTTTCAACTTGATTTTGAAGGTAGGTTCCTTGTACTAGATAGTAAGTGGTGTGAACCTACATCTGCTCCCCTTCTTCATCTTGTGTCCAGTGGGTTGCGTCTCCATCTCCACTTTCTTCACATTGAGATGAAGTCGATCTGATTTTCAGTGTCGATCTGGTGAAATCAGATCCATGTCGCTTTGTGAATATCCCTGTATTTGTTTGTACACACTACCTACAATCACCAAATCGTTGAATGCTCAGAAATCTGTAAACAGTTCTCCGTTCTCATTCATAATTTCGCCGAGTGCTTCTCGACCGATGATTGGTTCTCTTCCTATGTTTTCCGCTCCCAGTTTGGCATTCATGTTATCAATTAAAATTTTGATGTCGCCAACTGGAGTGAGGTATTGTCCAGTACTGATTGCAGTTGTCCGTAGAATTCCTCCTTCTTCTCTTCGTTTGCGTTGTTTGTAGGTGCATAGCATAGAATTGTATGATTGTGACTTTCCTTTCTTCTGAGTTGAATCTTGCTGTCATGATCCTGGAGGAGGAGACTGGTTCCCGCTGCATGAGAGCCTTCGATGCCCTTGGGTACATCATGATATCCACTCCAAAACTCAGTCTGCTGTACTCGTGGTTGTCATCTGGGTGGCAATATTGGAGTAGATGATTGACTCTCCAGTTAACAGTCTGGAGAGTCCACTCCCATCCCATCTGTAGATTCCTCTCAGATTCCTAGTACTTCTATGCTATACCTTCTCAACTCAATCTGGGCAGCCTTGCTAGCCAGCTTCAAACATTGTGCCGACATTCCATGTCCCCATGTTTACTTTCGCTTTCATCGAGAGGAGAGACATCGGCCGATTGGCTCCTCGAAGGCTTTCAGCAACCGGCATCATTTCGTCTCTCTGATTCGAGCGAGGAATAAGTTTGTTTGTCTGTGCTGTGAAGTTTCTGCAGCGGTTGGGTTGGTTTTACGGGGTAGGTTTGGTAGCCCTATGCCCAACCTTCTCTCTTTACCCGGGCTTAGGACAGGCTAGTAATTAGTGAACTAGTTGCTCAGACGAGGGTATCTGAGAAGCATGTCTATTCAGAAATTGAGCCTGTTGAACTACGTTTGATCCGGTAGATTCTTTCTACTTTTTTTGTGTAGTAATTGTTCATAGTTTTGTCGTTTTATGTATGTGTTTACACCTCATTTTCTTAAACTTTGTTTAGATGGAAATAATAAAAAAGCTAAGCCCCAGTGGTAATTTTACTAGTGGTTCTGCTGTACATAACCAGAGTCATTCCGCAGCACACACTGATGACGACGATGACTTAGTCATGCCGAATACGCTACCTGTTCAACTTCTCTGTCCCTTATCCAAATGCCGTATTGAAGTACCTGTGCGTGGTCGTAATTGCCGCCACGTTCAGTGCTATGATGCAACAACCTACCTCATAATTAATGAACGTAAACCAACCTGGAATTGTCCTGTGTGTGATGGTAAAGCCACCTATGGAGATTTAATAATCGATGGGTAAGTTCCTATGATTCGGTTTTAGTTTACTGTCGTATGTATAATAGAAGCTGGATTCAACTGTTCTAGTATCAAAAATGGTAGTAAGAACAGGTAGTGTATATCAGTTAATGGCTTTGTTAATGCTTATAGAGTGTCGGTTGGGCTATTTTGCACGTACCAAATCAACAAATGGTCTTTTGATAGGTTGTTCGTGATCACAATTAGCTTCAAAATGACTTTGAAGTGGCTGCATTAAAAAATGGAACAAATTACTGCCTGTTACACAGTGACGTGTCTGAAAAATTGTAAATTCCTTTGAATTCTAAAAAGCAACATACAATGTTTGAAGCTCTAAATGAGAAGATTGAATGGATATTAGAATTGGATAGGCAAATTTACTGCTTGATCATTCACTACTGAATTTTCGACTGCTTCATGCTTACTCCTTTCATGTCCACGTGTTTTTGTCATAGCTTGTTTTAGTATTGAGTAGATTTCCCTTCTTGTGAATTGGAGTTGTGGTAACTTAATCCAACTCATCTGACTTTGATCAGTGTACCTAACTTTAGCATCCTTACGGTTCTTAATAGTTTGCAGTTTATTGGAGGTTTACGATGAAAATTATCTTCTAGATGAAGTGTAGTAAAGAAATCATTGTATAAAATATGCCAAACCATGCATGAGTAGCTATTGAGCTCTGTTTTATTTAGTTGAAAATATGTTACTTCCCCGTTTCAGATCCCTCGATTGGGATCACGCTTAATTGTGATAGGCTTACAGTCGACGAATCTACTTTTCACAGCTTCTAGGTTGATTTCTGACATGTTCTTCGTTTTGTGCTTGGGGTGGTAACATTCATGCTGATACACTTCTGGTCTCCTTGCTCTTCTATACCATGCTTGACTTCAAGTGTCTGTTCATTATAAACCGTATCCTCATCTATTTAGCTTATTTCCTACTTCTGCTTTGGCTTCTATGTCAATTCTGTATGATAGTTTATGGTTGAAAAGTGGAGAGATTGTAGCCGTGGCGTACTAGTGGCAAATGGCATTTAACCTTTAATGCTAAGCATGAATAGCGAAACTGTTAATGATTCTGTTTAATTTTTACCTTACATTATATGTGAAAGTCAGAGACAAGAGTTAAACGGCATCTTTTTCTATGTTCCGTTTAAGTTCATAAAGAAAGTTATATTTACTAATGAGACACTAACAATATTTTTAAATTTGCTTTTAGCTTGTTTCTTGAAATTCTAAGCTCGAAACGCTCTCAGGATCTGGATGAAATCATATTTCATGCTGATGGATCTTGGTCAGCTATAGGTGAAGATATGGCACATAAAAAGTCAGAAAATAATACTAATAGTAATATAACTGAATCACCTCCATGTCGTGATTATAACCAACGCTATGGCTTACTAGAAAGTCCTTACACTAGTCATATCACTCCGAATTCCATCATATCAGCTACTGATTCAGTTGGTTCTTCTTCATTTAGACATTCATTTAATACTTTATCTCCTACTAATTCAGTCAATTCTTCGTCTAATCAACATACTTCCTGCGTTAGTCAGTTATCAGAATCTCCTGCACTTACTGTACGCTCCTCAAGAGTTGCTCCAATGATCCGAAATGAAATCAGCAATATCACTGGTTCAAATACACCTGCTTATCACATGTCAGTTTCTAAGCAAACCTCGCAGGATAAAGAACAAAATCAACAAACTGGTCAAGAGGTTAGTGAATTTATTTAGAAATGTTTTTCAATCTTTTTGTCACATTTTGTCTGGGCTGTTTAAGAAAATGTAAGCTAGATGTGGAGACGTGTCCAGGGAATTATAAAGTTCATTAGAATCAAAGACAGAATGACTTACCTTATGGTCATCATTGATCAACTATCTATAACTCAGTGGTTAGCACCTAATAGTCGATTCACCTTAACCATAAAAGTCGAGTAGCACTACCAACCCCTACACTATGTATTTAGTTCACAGTTTAGTCATATGACTTGCACTTAGTTAAGGGTTTGTGTCATCGTTATTGCTCATATGCACTTATCTCTTGTATATGTGGACTGTCAGTTCCTTCCTGATAATGAGTTCGGTAATTGGCATATTCAAGATAGAGCCACTGGTAGTAGTGTACCTCACCATGTTAGACCACGTTTTAATTGGTGACGCAGTTTCGCAGGCTCTGAGCGCAGTTAGTTACGGAAGCAATTGAAGTGTAAACTGATAAAGAGTGAACACAATGACTATGGGCAATGGTGAACAGCGAAGACTAAAGGAGTAAAAAAAAGTCATTGCCATCGATTAAGGTAGACAGCTATTTTGACCAATTAAAAAAACCAGTCGAAGAAGTCAGTGGTTAGTAGGAGGACTATTGCGGCGAAGTATGGGTCAGCAGTTTACTCTAAGAAGAGGTGACTACAACGGTGGGAATGTACAATATCTAAAGACTGTTGGTGAGCAGGTGAGGTCATTTTTTGACCTATAATCCAATTTTCCGTGAGTGTGGTTATCGGTCAGCTGATCATGGATGCAGCAGAATAACAGTATTGTATTCCGATAACTATTTAGCAAATTCCACTTTGAATTTGGTTTTCGTATCTTCTTTGGATTGGAATTCACTAATATCTTGTTCTTGCAGTGTTCCAAATGTCAGTTAACAAAAAGACATGCACTTGCTTGATTTGACGTTTCAGACAAACAAAATCAACGTAGAACCCTTCACAGAAGTGCGTTGGTTTAATTTGCCACACTTTACAGTAGTATCCAAAAGTAAGTGGATAAAAAGACTGGTACCACTGTAGGCAAAGGTATATGGGAGAAGAATGAATTTGAAGATAAAGACTAGTGAAAATATTCAAGCTTTAGAAGACGTTTCATCAGGTGTTGTGCATGTTCTTTGGAAGTAACATAATTCCTTCATGAACCACTTAGTGGTAACTGATAGTGACTATCCAGCTGTGTTTTTCTTGTTGTGTCTATGTCAGTAGCTTCCGAATTTAACTGTTTCTTCATGTCAGAAAGCTGCGCACTACAAATAAGTAGTTATGTTAACAGTTGTATCGAGTGGTTAGATTATTGGATAACTGAACTCGACTCTTCTGTTTAAATTATATTTTACTTGTAAATTTGAGTCACCTGTTTCAGTAACCGTGTCTGCATTTATTATTTCTTCGGCAAAAATTAATGGTCTTGCATAAAACCGATCCCCAACTTCATCCGAACTACAGCCAGTTAGTAGGCCGATAGAGTTTACAAAACGGATGTCGACGTGCTTAATGGTTATCCGTATCTCTTACCGTAGCTTTCGTTCGAATATGGCACAGATAACTTTCAACTGGGATCCAGTCAAAAAGTATACCTAGCACCTGCCTTAGAACCTGCAAGGTGGTGGAAATTAATTGTAAAATCTCTTGACACATGAAGCAATAATCTCATCTACTCACCAAGCCAGTTGAATCAGATCAGATGAATAATCCCACTTTGGTCTTATATGGATTTCCGAGAAACAGCAAACATTCATAACTTGAGAAGCTAGAGTTTTGCTGATTGGGGCTTGTTATCCGATTCAGTTCTTTTCATGGAATGATTTTACACTGATTGCTTACTGAAGACAGTCGATGAGAAGCCCTAGACAACTTGGTTTCTTGCTGGGATTCATCAGCATGTGGTATCTGCAACTTCAAGAAAACTGACAACCCCTCCACGAAAGTCGAACCCGAGTCACCATGTACTGAAGTCAGAGATGTTAATACTGAACGATTCTGACCGTGATTAGTTGCCTATAGGGCTGGATTTATGTACATTGATGGTTCACTGAAGCGTTACCAATTCCGTGTTGTCTAGTTCTGAGTGTTTACCAAATTCTCTTAATCATTTTATAGTGTAGTTACCGGGCTAGGAGACTGAGCATTACGGTGCGCTTAGATTGGTGTTAAGAAATATTTCTACTTATTTATCTCTAATCCTTTTAATTTTTTGGCACGATATGATTTCGTCAATCAGGTGGAATGTATTTGAGATCCACCACTAATTCAGATGAATAAAAACCACTTATTTTCATCCCAAACTTGACAATTTCTTCTTTTTAGCCCTCCTCCTTGACTATTGATTTAACGTTGTCTGATGACGAAAATGAGCAACAGAATAAAAGTGTACAAAATATTATAAGTGAGTTTCCAACCATCGCTTTGTATTTACTGTGGCCTATTTCATATTCTAATGCAATCAGCGAATTCACTTACAAGTAAGCAAATAAAGGTTATATGTTGTTAGCGGAGAGCAGCCGTCACTTACCATGTTTACTTGATAAATAAACTTGTCATTAATTTATTTGAATGAGTAAGCAAGGGGTTCTCATTGCTGGCAGCTGTTTTTTTCCAAGCTATGACTTATCCATCACTTAGCTTCCAGCCGTTCGACCAACGGGTTCAAACCGAGATGTGCGAAGCCAGATGTTATCGTTATTCCTCACACAATAGGTGTATCTCATTACATAGATTTGCACATAGTTTTGAATACCCCGATACATATATTCATCATCATCAACATAGGACCAGGCATTACTGCGTAACGGTCCGAGTTGCCACACCTCATATCAGCACATCAAGTAAAAAGGTAGTGAGGCGAAGGATGAAGATAAGTGAATGCAGTCAAAAGAAATATAAAGTACGAGAAGAAAGGAAAGAGGAGTGACAAAATGGTGAGATTCGGTATAGCGTTGTTAGGATGAGGATAATGTGTGTATACATCTGCGCCACTGACTTCGGTTCTGAGCCATATCACCTAGGAAAATGTATCCCAGTATAAAAACATTGCTGTTTGAGTTTGCTGGTTTAAATGAAGTACATTGGTATACATTTATTTGTCCAACGAACTATAACAAATAAGTAGTGTGTAAACTTTCTATCAAATTTGTCATAAAAGGTTTGTGAAGGTAACAGGTTATAATTATAACAGTAACTCTGTGTCATCCCAAAATTATATTCTGTTATATAGTTCGATTTCTTTACCCTAGATAGCGTAAAGAGGAACTACTAAAGATGTGATTTAAATTGTAGATACGGGGAAGGGGCAGTTAAGTAAAGTCAGACCCATCCATCCTACCCCTGAGCTTTGTAGCTTAACTAGAAGGTGGAAATCTAGCTGTCGACCTTTGATTAGTGATTTTGGGCACTAATCATCGGTCCTTATATAATGGATGTGGTTCGTAACCTAGTTTGCAAAACTGCATGTTGTTTGTTGAGTTGCATAATCATTAATTAGTATTCTAGTAGATGCTATTTTTGTTTGTTAGATTTGATCTGTTATTGCAGTTATTATTGTTCTCACTGCAGTAGGCAGTATGATAACTTCGGAGAATATATTGTGCCGCCTACTTTCAGTTTGTAAGTATGTGCTACATTCTATCAATCGAGAGTTTCATCCAACAGTGTGATGAGAAAAAGGTGGTGACATAAATTACTCAAATTTTTCATTAATACATTATTAGGTTGCATGAAGTGATATGATAGGAGGGACTAAACCTAGATTTTTTTTAATTGTCATTCGTCAGGTTGTATCTCCATCTTTAAAGAAACTTATCTCATTTCACGTAACGATGATCTTTCAAATTTAGTCGACGGACTTCAGTGAGTGACTAGGAAAGCGACCCTCCCATCAACTGAAATGATAAATTACAGTTGAACATGTAGATTGCTGCAAAGAATGGTTTACTTCTGTCTATCTGATTGAGTTATGTCTAGCTTACGCTAGATTATCCTTATTCTTACCAGTCAGTATAAGAAAAGAATGAAAAAGAATTTTCCAACAGTCAGTGTATAACTGACTTTTCGTACAATTGGATATCAATAATGCAATCCTAAATTCAAAGCCTGCTACACTGTCTATAGACTTTCGACCTATTATACAAGAATAAACTGATTCATTTAGTAGTTGCATAGCAAAAGATAGTGAAAATTTTGAATTTCAGCTTCAACTAGAAAGAGGTTAATGTAGTAACATGAAACTTCTAGTAAATCAAAACCAATCGTTTTAGTTGTGTTGAGTTTTTGCTCACAATATTATGACGTTTGTGAAATTCGCTCCGTCCACTTGTTTTTTCGTATCTGCTTAGTTTGCAACTCAATCTTTTCATATTTTTGTACAAGATTATTGTAAGATTGCATCCACTTCTTGGTTAATATCAACATGAAACCCGGCGTCACTACGAAGTGGTTTAGGACGTCACCTATCACATCGTCAGATCAACATATGAGGCAATAAAACATAAGAAAATGAGATAGAAATATCATCAAAAGTAGTGGTTAGTGGTAAGGCTAGAGAAAGAAGTCTCGAGTCAAATAGTGAAAAGTCATATGTTTATTAGGATGAAGGTACGATGATTTAACCTACTTAAGCTCTCAGTAGTCCGTGTTTATCATTTGTGTGATAGCAAGAAAATAAAATACTCGTATGTCATTGAGAATTTGTCGCTCGTTAGCTTAGATATTTGACTTTCAATCGGTAGGCTGTGGATGCAACTCCTTGCTGCATCTATCGAGGTTTGGTTTGCAGGGTGTGACTCATTTTCTAGCACATATACACCTACGCTTGATTGTTTAGTTGCGATAACTATCCTTCAGTTAGGTGGACATTCGGATAATACTACCTATTCCCACAGAAGGTTCAGATTTGATTCTTACACTGCTTGACTATCAGTTGTTCAACGTGCATAAAGCAAATACCAAGACTGTAATATTCATGAAACATTTTTGCATTGTGGAGAGAATCAATTCATTATAAGTATATTTGTAATGAATGTTTGCATACCATTGTCTGTACAGAATTATCACTTCGTGGTATACTACCGTGCACCAGTATTTCTGTTTTCTTGTACATACAGCGTAAACATAGCTCATTATTCACACCGCATCATCATTTGCAGCTCCCCAACCAAATGAAGTACTTTTCCTTCCTTAGGATTTAGAAGTTTTCTCTAAAGAACCGTCTTCATTCCTCTAATTCAGGTTCCGTGTATTTCGTGAATAATATGTGCTACATTCATGTGGCGATCGAACTCTCATATCGCAGTGATCAAAGGTTTCTGGTCGTAACATCGGTCGTACTTTGACGATTCGCTTGAGCTCTACAGTCACTCAACTCTAAATCGCTTTCTCTTTTCACACCGCAGGATATAATCAACTTCCACAATGCTAACAGCCAGGATGTTCCAACTATACCTACACTTCTGCAAAAACTCAAATCTCTTTCGAACACTACCAACCTTCGTCGCTGTGTTTTAAGTTTTCTTTATCTCTTCCCATTACTGACTGCATTTGATCTTCAACTCTTTCCACATCTGAGACGCTTGAGAATGAATCGAATTCAGGAAAAAGGACCTATACTCTTGTGCAGCTACGTTCCAAACTGAATGTCAGTGCGTTTATTATCCCCACACTATGTCTGCTTGTGCAACAAATACACTGAAATATAGGCCTATAAAAGTATGGTCTGCCTTTTAGACGCATACAAAATCCAAGTGTGATGCCGAATGATAAGGGCCTGACAAAAACAACCCAGAACCTCACACATAGGTGCATCGGCTCAAGTTGCCACACTTCACAGTAGTACACAAAGAACAGGTGGATAGAAAACAAATAATATCGATGTAGATAAAGTTATGTAAGAGAATAAACAGTCTGATGATACACGATATTGCAAATATTTGAGATTTGGATGTCAAAGAGTGAATACATCTGCGACACTGACCGATTCTCAGCCATGTCTCCAGGAGTCCTCAACCACTGATTTCTATGGTATCGGAGACGCCAACCAAACAGTCTACATCTTCCCACTCAACTAAGACCAATGGAAAGAGACTCCACTGACTGGTGCTATTTTTTGATTTGGTCGCCCTGAACCGTCTGTCAACCTACTCCAACTCTCTTCCAGAGTGGCACATCGAGGTAAGCGGTGGGTTGGCATACACAACACATATCCAAGCCATTTCAGCCAATGGAGTTTCACAACCTTATCAATCGACTTGCCTCCCTTACCTAGTATCCTTCACCTAACCTCAAGATTGATCTCACTGTGGTTCCACCAAACACGAGTAATGCTACCAAGATATCTGTGATCGAAACTTGATAATCGTTTCATATCTTCTACTTTGGACGGCTATGTTTAACAGCCATAAAACTGCAGCGCCTTATACTTGTCCGTTGATAGGCAGTTGGATATCTCATCAATTGACGCCACAGATGACGCAGTTTGGTAAATGTCAAACGGGGCTTCTGTATCCGAACTGGGATTTAGTCAGCAACTAGGGGTTTGAAGCCGATGCAACTTCTTAAGTGAAGTGGTCGACATATTCCACCACTACACTCCGCTCGCAACTTATAACTGCAACCTTGTGGTTATTGGTTTACTATGCCTGACTCAACGAGGTGTTTTGCTTAACACGAAGGTTCTTTAGGATCCTACCATACCAGGTAGGTTTGTTTAGTATTGGTTACCTTTGTTGTGTAGGTAGCTGACTCTATGACTGTTATCCGAGGACGAAATCATATCTTTGACTTTACAGTATGTGACAACAGTAGCATATTTTCCATTGACACCAGTATTCAATGCTCGTGTCGCCTTTGTTATCGGAAGGAGAGGAATGAAAAGATTTTCCTTGAAAATAGCGCACTCCTTCTTGCCTCGTCTTCTTTCTGTGTTGATATTAGGTGTCACACAATCAATTCCAGATCGAAAACTTTCTGAAAGGTTGTTTGTAACGAGCCTAAAACAGATTTCCCATAACCTCTGTGGTCACGCATCCAGGTTGTTGAAACCACTAATACCGATGCACTTTCTTTTCAAAGTATTTCAAGAGGAAGTAACCTTCCGTGTTGTGGGTAGCTGGGACCTATCTACTGCTTTCATCCCTATCTGTACTTTTGACCATCGTCACCCTTCCGCATCGTTGCCTTTTAGTCTTCATTCACATTTCTCTGTTAATAATCTGTCATACTTAATTTCTTCCAACTCTCCAGCGCTTGTTAAGGGTCTGGTTTCATGGAACAGCACTCATAGTTTTCTGCTAGTTGCCTTCCAAACTAAATCTTGGGACTTTCAATGTTCGCATCGTTCATGAATCGAACAACTAGCTTCACTAGCGAAATCTCCTGCATCTCGTACTATGCTAA